TACAGAGACAGTGCTTACTCAGCAGGGTACGGGTCACTCACTGTGTACCTGTACAGAGACAGTGCTTATTCAGCAGGGTAAGGGTCACTCACTGTGTACCTGTACAGAGACAGTGCTTATTCAGCAGGGTAAGGGTCACTCACTGTGCCTCTGGTGTGAATTACCCACAATGATGGGGAAAGGAGGTTTGTGGTTTCCATGGTAACCTGGAGTGGGTGTTTGTCATGTTAATGATGCTGGGGGAAGTGGGACAGATGGGATTTAATGGGGTGCTACAGCTGCTGTCTATGATTCACCAACAAACAGTTCCTGGAATACTGTTGGGAAGAAGTCTGGTCTATCCAGCTCTACGGTCTGTGTTTGTTTATAGACACAAGGCTGTCTGCCTTTGCCGTGTGAAAAAATGAAGCAGCTGTGTGTGTAGCACCTGAAGCAGGACATGGTCAGACAGAACCAGCTTCCTGTTCTCTCAGCTCTCCTCCAGGTTTGCACCCAAGGCTCGGAACTGAATGGAATTGACCAAGGTTCCAGTTCTTGATTCCCCAGTGACTGGCTAGAAGTCAGCAGCATGGAGTAATCTCAGTGATATTGCCCTCTGAGTACCTCACCGCTCTATGTTAGCAACATAAGAACAAAGGAAGCCACTTGGCAGCCTCTTTGGCAAGTTACACCATTCAAGTGGATCCCAGCTGTCAGGTTTTAGAGCAGATTTGTAGCTCGAGTTGTGGATGTTGCGGTAGGTTGGCTCACTGAGCTGGTTCGTTGTCCTGCAGACATTTCATTACCATGCTGGGTAACATCATCAGTGCAGCCTCCGATGAAGCACCATTGTGTTTTCCCACCTGGTTTTTAAACTCTGGAGTCCGTTGAGCTGGATTACTTCACTTCCGGTTTTTCTTTGCAATGGAGTGTATATGGGGTCGAGTTCTATGTGTTTGTTGATGGCTTTCTTCATGGAGTACCAGGCTTCTAGGAACTCCCGTGCCTGTCTCTGCTTTGCTTGTCCCAGGATCTTGGTGCTGTCCCAGTTGAATTGGTGATTCTCCTTATCCACGTGGATAGAGATGAGTGAGTATTGGTTGTGTCTTTTTGTCACCAATTGGCGTTTGTGTACCCTTGTTGTTAGTTTCCTTCCTGTTTGTCCAATGTCATGTTTGTCACAGTCTCTGCAGGGAATCTTATAGATGACATTGGTCCTGTCCATAGTGGGAAGTGGGTCTTTGGTTTGGGTGAGCAGTTGGCGTAGGGTTGATATGGGCTTGTGTGCCACTCTGATGCCCAGCGGTCGTAGGAGTCTTGTGGTTAGTTCCGATGTGTTCTTGATGTAAGGTAGCATGATGAGTGTGTCGGGGCGTGTAGTATCTTCCTGGTGTCACTTGTGTAATAGGCATCTTCTGACCCAGTTTTTCGATATCCGTTGTCTTTGAACACCTGGAAGAGATATCTTTTCTTCTTCTCGGCGTAGCTCTGTACTGCTGCAGTGTGTTGTTGCCCATTTAAATAATGTTCTCATGCAACTTTGTTTGTGTGTGTTAGGGTGGTGGCTGTTGAAATTCAGTACTTGGTCAGTGTGTGTACCTTTCCTGTGTACCTTTTTTAGGAATTCCCCTTTGGCCCTGCGTTCCACCATGACGTCCAGGAATGGGAACTGTTTGTTCTTTTCCTTTTCCCTGCTGAATCTGCTGTTTATACAGCAGGTCCCAGCTGATCTGTGTATTGATCCACTCAACTGGGTTACATGATCTGCAATCCCCTTGCCTCACAGATCGACATTTATCTTAGGTTTGAAATTTCAGTGATTACCAGACTTGACAGGTTTCTTGAGGAGAGAGTTCCAGATCCTTTGCCTCTCTTTGTAACGTATGTTCTGAGATCAGCCCCAAAAGGCTTGGCTCTAACAAACATTGAGCTGCTTTTGTTCCTGACCACCTTCCCTTGAGGAAATCTTCCGTCTCCCTCTCATCAACTCCATTCAGCCTCACTTGCAGGAATCGACATCCAGCTCCAGCAAGCTATTAGGCAGGTGCTATTCAAACAGCAAGGATGTCAGCAAAATAAACTCTTGTTTGAAATCTACAGGGCCTCAGAGACAGCACACCTTACAGTCATCGTATCCCTACTTAACAAGAGTTATTTGCCGTGAAAGGAGTGTAATCAAGATCCCTGTGATGAGGGGGGAGGGAAGATCGAGTAGACTGGGTCTGTGCTGATTTTCTTTAATTCAGCCACATGATGTGTCACTGCCCGTCCCCAGTTGCCCCTTGAGAAGGTAGGGGTGAGCTGCCTTCTTGAACCACTACAGTCCATGTGCGGTAGGTTGACCCACAATGCCCTCAGGGAGGGAATTCCAGGATTTTGACCCAGTGACATTGAGGGAACGGCGATATATTTCCAAGTCAGGATGGTGAGTGGCTCGGAGGGGAACTTGCAGAGGGTGGTGTTCCCATGTATCTGCTGCCCTGGTCCTTCAAATGGAAATGGTTGTGGGTTTGGAAGGTGCTGTCTAAGGATCTTTGGTGAATTTCTGCAGTGCATCTTGTAGACAGTACACACTGCTGCTACTGAGCATCGGTGGTGGAGGGAGTGGATGCTTGTGGATGTGGTACCAATCAAGCGGCTGCTTTGTCCTGGGTGGTGTCAAGCTTCTTGAGTGTTGTTGGGGCTGCACTCATCCAGGCAAGTGAGGAGTGTTCCATCACACTCCTGACTTGTGCCTTGTAGATGGTGGACAGGCTTCGGGGAGTCAGGAGGTGAGTTACTTGCCACAGTATTCCCAGCCTCTGAGCTGCTCTTGTAACCATGGTATTCATATGGCAAGTCCAATGCCGTTTCTGGTCAATGGAAATGCCCAGGATCTTGATAGTGGGGATTCAGAGATAGTAATGTCATTGAATGTCAAAGGGCGGTACAATGTCTCTTATTGGAGATGGTCATTGCCTGGCATTTGTGTGACACAAATGTTACGCCTGTTAGTAGAAATGAGAGGTAATCTCCTAGAAAGGTACAACCATTACAAGGCACTTGTTGGGGTAGAGACTGTGAAGCTGTTTCCCTGGCTGGAGGGAGTAGAGGCACAGCTTCGGGACAAGCATTCAGCCAGGTAGGCCTTTGGGAAGAAATAACTTGAGGTTATGAATCTTTTGGAAATCTCTAAGCTTTGAGAGGGCTGTGGATGCTCAGTCGCAGGTATGTTCAAATTGAGTCTGACTGAACACTGAACTTGAAGGATGTGGGAAATTCAGCTGTGATCTAATCGAATGGTGAAGCAGGTCACTGAATGGTGAGACAGAGCAGTGATCCTGTGTCTTATGTCAGGCAGACCCTTCATGCTGTATATTCAAGACAAATCACAACGATGCAGAGAGTTCCATCAACAAGAGGCTCTGCAGAAACTCCATGGTTTTGTTAATTGCTATAACTTTGATTGGTTCAGCTTCTCTCCCTGGGTCATGTTATTTATTTCCAAGACTGTTTAGGGGATTGTGTGATTGGACGATGAGATTCCTACCAATAAGGGAGAATTAAAAGACAGTGTCTTAAGTGAAACAGCAGTGTGAGTGAGGCTCTGTCAGCGTGCTCCCTAGATCTCTTCTACAGTCCTAATGTTTCTGTTTTCAGGAGTGCTGAGCCACCTGATAGAAACCTTCACGCACACTCCGAGTTTCGACATGAGCCCCTCGATGCAGAACATGCTGATCCGTTTGATGTTGGCTCAAGCTCAGGAGTGTGCCTTTGAGAAGATGGTTCTGCCTGGGATCCACAACCAATACTTCAACCTGCTGCGGGTGGCACAGGAAGCTGCCAAGGTGGGTGGCATTGTTAAGTTTTATATCATTGGGTTGGGAGTTATTTCCCATTGCCTCTGAAGATGGTAATCAGCCACCTTGAATACAACAGAGTGACATCTCAGAGGGTGGTTGAGAGTCACCCACATTGCTGTGGATCAGTTGCATGTAGGCCAGACCAGGTAAGGATGGCAGATTCCTTCCCTAAAGGACATTGTCAGAAGTCACATGACGCCAGGTTATAGTCCAACAGGTGTCATGTGATTTCTGACTTTATCCACCCCAGTCCAGCACCGGCACCTTCACATCATCCCGAAAGGACATTAGCGATTCAGCTGAGTTTCTCAGTATTCCAGTCATCACATGGTTACCATTGGGACTACCTTTTATTCCAGATCGACTTAATTAAATCCATTTAAATTCTCCCAGCTACTATGGTGGGATTGAACTTCTGTGCTGAGAACATTAACTGGGCCTCTGGATTATTATTTATTTCTTTATGGCATATGGATGCACATCTCCAAATTGCCCAAAGGGCAGTCAAGAGTCACCCACATTGCTGTGGGTCTGGAGTCACATTTAGGCCAGAGCGGGTAAGGATGGTACATTGCCTTCCCTGAAGGACATTAGTAAACCAGATAACATTTAACAACTGACATTTCCAGCTATTTTTGAATTCAGATAACACCATTTGCTGTGGTGGGATTGGAATCAGGGGCTCCCAGAACATTAGTCTCGGCGCCTGGATTCCTGCCTCGCCATTGCTTGTTTAGTAATGTCACCGCTCTGTTAGCCAGGCCTCTCCCCACTCAATAGTGCTTGTTGCTAATTCCCTGGGATATGGGTATTGCTGGAGTGGCCAGCATTTACTGTCAATCTCTAAGTGACTGTAGGTACGTCTGCGGGGGAGTGCCCTCGCGGCGATCCGCCCTGCGGGAAACTGAGCTGGGAACAGGTAAGTGCAGTGTGATTAGGATACACATATCCCAAAGTGTTGGGATGATGTACATTTGAAACACAGTCATTGTCATGTTGGGAACACTGCAGGTGCTTTGTACACAACCCAAGTGATTGCTTATGTTGAAAATGGATGTTTTTTGCAGATGGACTCGGTTAATGCTTTCGCTCTGGATTTTCTAGGTGTCTGAGGTGTACAGCACTGTTCACCAGTTGATCACACAGGCTCCTATCAAGGAGCATGTCCCTGTAGCCTGGTCATACACAGTGCAGGTCAAGCTGGAACATTACAGAGCACTGGCCCATTACTTTGTGGCTGTAGCAATGCTGGATCATCAGTGTGAGTACTGTGTGCTGTTAGCCGGGTGAGAATAGGTGTGGGCACTGTGGCTGATAAGAAAAACAAATATTGCTGGAGAAACTCAGCAGCTCTGAGAGCATCTGTGAGGGTCACTAGACTCGAGAGAGACATTAACTCTGTTTTTCTCTCTCCACAGATGCTCTCAGAGCTGCTCAGTTTCTCCAGCAATTTCTGTTTTTGTTTCAGATTTCCAGCATCCACAGCTCTTTTATTTTAGTTGCTGGAAGGAGGCCAGCTGTATGTGTTCACCTTCTGCCGTCAAATAGCCAGTTCATAATAACCATCCCATCTCACTGGGGCATCAAGACCCACTATTCCTAGAATTGTCACAGGCAATCATCAACTGTTGCTATATCAATCCGTGAGTAAAACTCCAGCCCCTTATAAGCACGTGCAGACCAAACAAAACAAAATGGGTGTTATGGGCAAAGGGAAAGACAGGGAAGTAGATTAATGATCCCTGACCCACGGGGTTTACTGAGGTGAACCTTTTGCTGACGAAGAAAGCTGCTTCTCCAGGTTCTTTCCCTTGTTTGCAGGAGGAACAGAATGACTGGTTCACACTTAGAAAAGCCTCTGACTTATTCATTAAGACTCTCAGTTTACAGCAACTGGTGAGGGGAAATAAAGAGGGTCTCCTCAGATCTGAGATGGTATTGACTAAGGAGAAAGGATGGCACCTTCCTTTCTGGAGGCCTTTTAGCTTCTAATAAAATGTTCACATCCACAAGCTGTTGAGCTCCCTAAAAGCCAATCTCACAGTTGTTGGCCGGGAGTAGCCTTTTCTCATCAATTACTGGTCACCATTCCACAGACCAATCAGCTACTTGTTGCTGACTGAATCTCCCTTTCTAACGCACCCCCAGCTCCAGCTCTTCTGTAGGATCTTCCCCATCGCTTCAACAGCAGCAATGTAAACAGCACTTACAATCAGTTGCAGCTTACTTGCTTTTAAAAGTGCAACAATCTTTTGCCAATCCTTTGCTTTTAATACAGTTCTTTCCTTTAAGTCCACAATCTAAAATATAGGCAAAAAAAAACGGTGCCTACATAACTGTCTGGCTTGTATTGAGGTAAGGTCTGGGGAGGCTGGGAATTAAGCAACATGTGTTGGGAAGAATAATCTGTAGGTGTTGATCAGCAGTAACATGTTTACCGTGTTTGTGTTCCCTCCCCGCGTGGCAGTACCATATTCACTGTGTTT